ACTATTATATCAAGTTTTTTGATAACAATTTCTATTAGAAATGTATTTTGCAGCATTTGACTCCGTACCACTGAACGATTTAGTCGCACATTTGAAAAATAGCCTAACAGCTGAAATGAATGTTCGGATAATGGGTTTATATTGATCATTCTGGGTTGAGACCAAACATCAAAAAAACATTGCCATAAATGGATAAAAAAGTGTTTCCATTTATTCATCAAAAAAGGCGCATTCTTTGAAGCCAGAATGCATTTTCCTTGATATCGAACATAATGAATGTTAGGATCCTTGAAGAATGTTAAAGTATACGAAAAATCTTTAGCAAAAACTTTGACAAGATGCTCTCTTTTTGCATAAAAAAAAATTCGCTCAAAAAAAACGCTAAAAGATTTTAATCGTAAATGAGAGGATTTATTACGTAGAAAAACGAAGATAGATTCATATTCACATACATAAAAATTATAGAGGAACAAGAAGAATCTTCGATGACTTTTTGAAAAAGTAGAAATTGATTTTTTGGTAGTAATAAAACTATTCCAATTCCAAAGAAACAGCCGTAAGAAATGAAAAAAAGGGGCATCTTTCACCCAGTATCGAAGGATTTGAACTAAGATTTCCAGATGGATAGGATAGGGTATTCGTATATCTGACACATAATTCAAATATGTCAATTTATCCTCCAAAAAGGGAAAAATGGAATGAATTGATCTCAAATTTTTATAAGATTTGATGATTTCTTCCTCCTCTAAGGAAGAGCTTAATTGTAGGAAAAATGGAATTTCCACGACGATGGCAAAACCCTCTGATATTATTTGAGAATAATAATTATTCTTATACCCCCAAAATGGATTTTTGTTAGAATCATTAGCCCAAATGATTAAATGATTCTGTTGATACATTCGAGTAATTAACCGTTTTACAATTAGTAAACTATATTTCTTGTCATAACCTATATTTTCCACAAAAATGGATCTATTCAAATTATGACTATAAGCAAGTCCATAAATATACTCCCTAAAAATAAGTGGGTATAGGAAGTGCTGTTGGCGAGATCTAGCTCGTTCTAAATAGACTTTATATTCCTTCATTTTAGAAATGATATTTGGTCAAAGGATCAGAGATTCATTGGATTATCAAATGATACATAGTGCGATACAGTCAAAACAAGGTATTCTATATCTATATTCGAATTGAAATAAAAAACAAATATGAATAGATACCTAGAAAACGAGTTAAAACACATTAATGGACTATCTCCCCTCGCTTGTTCCTTCTAATTTTTCTAGGACAACAAGCTAGTTAGAAATCCTTTATTTTTTGGGGACCAATCGCTCTTTTGATTTTGGAAAAAAATATCTTTATCAATATACTCTTTCTTCTACACATTTCTTGCTACCCCATAACATAATGGGGAATAGCTAATAATTAGGACTCATAACAAAAATCCTTAATCCATTCGTGGGAAAAACTTTTTCCACAGCAAGCACTAATCCTTTTTTAACGTATAACTAGATGTGGTAATCATTCCAATAAAAAATGAAAGCTCGTTGCTTTTTCTTTCCCTAGAATTCGAGCAGCTAAGCTCTATCCCTTTATTAATTCAACCCAACGGAATTCATTTGTTCCCAGCCAACAATTCAAAGAAAAAGATTGGTCGGATCCAATATGAATGAAAAATTTTTTGAATTCACCGTTGATACGACATGCTGCTTTTTCCATTCATTCCTTTCTGGATCAGTCGTGGTCTTACAAACCCTACCGATGGTATGGATGAACCAATTAGTTCATAGAAATGTGTAAAAAATGGAGTCGCACTTAAAAGCCGAGTACTCTACCATTGAGTTAGCAACCCTAATAAAATTACAAACAAGGATCTGTATATCCAATCGCAATAAAAAAAAGATGGAATTCTATAAATAATAGAATCAAATGTTACATATTACATTATATTACAATACAATGAAAAAAAGAAAAAATGAGAATCAAAAATGATAGACGACTTGTTTAGTACAGTACTGTAGTTATTTGTCTATTAATATAGTTTTAAATTAGTATTATTTTTTTCATATTTCTATTTCAAGAAAAAAAACTTCTTGTTTGTATCAAACAAAATCAAAATACAATGAATCCACCATTTGATGAAGTAAAAAACCTATGTGACATGAGTCAATCCATCCATTGATTCACGATCAGATTATATTTGTTTGATACACTGTTGTCAATATTAGTGTTGAAAAAAAGAATACAATCGAGAAAACAAATAAAAAAATATTTCTATTCTCATTTTTAAATAGAAAATATTTCTATTTTAATTCATTCTATTCCAAATCAAAAAAGAAGAATGAACTAGAAAAAAAATAGATCAATCCGAAAGATCTATAGGATTCATTCTAGATACAACAAGTATTTTTGTATTGTGTATTGTATTCGGCTCAATCCTTTTAGTAAAAGATTGGGCCGAGTTTAATGGAAATTAATAGAACGAATGATTATTACTGGATTACAAAGTATCCATTGCTGGGAATTCAAATTTGATTTCCTTCCAGACTTCACAAGCAGCAGCTAATTCAGGACTCCATTTGCAAGCTTCACGGATAATTGCATTACCCTCGCGAGCAAGATCACGTCCCTCATTCCGAGCTTGTACACATGCTTCCAGAGCTACTCGATTCGCTACGGCACCAGGTGCATTTCCCCAAGGGTGTCCTAAAGTTCCTCCACCGAATTGGAGTACAGAATCATCTCCAAATATCTCGGTCAGAGCAGGCATATGCCAAACGTGAATACCCCCTGAAGCAACAGGGATAACACCTGGTAAAGAAACCCAATCCTGAGTGAAATAAATACCGCGACTTCTATCTTTTTCAATATAATCATCACGTAGTAAATCAACAAAACCTAACGTAATCTCCCTCTCTCCTTCAAGTTTACCTACTACAGTACCAGCGTGAATATGATCTCCACCAGACATACGTAAGGCTTTAGCTAATACACGAAAGTGCATACCATGATTTTTTTGTCTATCGATAACTGCATGCATAGCACGGTGGATATGAAGAAGTAGACCATTATCGCGGCAATAGTGAGACAGGGTAGTATTTGCAGTGAATCCACCTGTTAAGTAGTCATGCATTACGATAGGAACGCCCAATTCTCTAGCAAATACAGCTCTTTTTAGCATTTCTTCACATGTACCCGCAGTAGCATTCAAATAATGTCCTTTGATTTCACCTGTTTCGGCCTGTGATTTATAAATTGCTTCGGCACAAAATAAGAAACGGTCTCTCCAACGCATAAATGGTTGGGAGTTCACATTTTCATCATCTTTGGTAAAATCAAGTCCCCCGCGGAGACATTCATAAACTGCTCTACCATAATTCTTAGCGGATAAACCCAATTTTGGTTTAATAGTACATCCCAATAGGGGACGTCCATACTTGTTCAATTTATCTCTCTCAACTTGGATTCCGTGAGGAGGACCTTGGAAAGTTTTAACATAAGCATTAGGGATTCGCAAATCTTCCAGACGTAGAGCGCGTAAAGCCTTGAACCCAAATACATTACCTACAATGGAGGTAAACATGTTAGTAACAGAACCTTCTTCAAAAAGGTCTAAGGGATAAGCTACATAAGCAATAAATTGATTATCTTCTCCAGGAACAGGCTCTATCTCGTAGCAGCGTCCTTTATAACGATCAAGGCTGGTAAGTCCATCGGTCCACACAGTTGTCCATGTACCAGTGGAAGATTCTGCAGCTACCGCTGCACCTGCTTCTTCAGCCGGAACTCCTGGTTGAGGAGTTACTCGGAATGCTGCCAAGATATCAGTATCTTTGGTTTGATATTCAGGAGTATAATAAGTCAATTTATAATCTTTAACACCAGCTTGGAACCCAACCTTTGCTTTAGTTTCTGTTTGTGGTGACATAAATCCCCCCCCTACAACGCATGAATTAAGAATTATAGCAAGAACAAGGTCTACTCGACATAACTTAGGAGTTAAGAAAACCTTTTTACAAATGATCCATCAACTAATATTATCAATTAATCCGAATGGGTCATTGTTCAATTTTACCATGATATTTGATTTGGCAAATACATCATTATTCTATACTGTTTCATATGTATGGCGCAACCCAACCGTTTTTTTTTGAGTCTCTTATTTTTTTTTTTTTGAATTTTGGAATCTCATTTTCTAATCTAAATAATAAAAAATATACTCTTGACCTTGACAGTGATATATGTTGTATATGTAAATCCTAGATGTCAAAATCGGCAGAATTTGCCCAATAAAAAGAAAAATTGGTAAAAAGAATCTGCATAGTATAAATCCTATGCTGAGGAAAGAAAAAAGAAGGACCAATGAGATAGAAAAACGGAATCATAAACAAACAAAGTTCAGGTTCGAATTACATAGATAATATAGATAGTATTGTCTATAATCTAGAATGATAAACAAATGAAAGACTTTCAAAAGATTTCATCCAATTAAAATTTTCATAATGACTGGGTTGACCTTGAAAATTCACTCATTGAAATTTAAAAACAATTGAATTGGTTGGATGGTACCAAGAAAATCGATTATTAACTTACATTTATTCTTTTATATATTATTAAATATTAAGAAAATTAAGAATATTAACCGATCAACTTGCTTTGTTATCAAACAGTTTTTTCTTAATTTCAATTTTTTTTTTTCAAAAAAATGGATATTTTTTAATATGACAATAACTCCTCCTCCTTCTGATACTGAGGTTTCTGCACTTGAAAAAAAAAATCTGGGGCGTATCACGCAAATAATCGGTCCGGTACTCGATGTAGTTTTTCCACCAGGGAAGATGCCTTATATTTACAACGCTCTGATAGTTCAAGGTCGAGATACGGTTGGCCAACAAATTAACGTAACGTGTGAAGTACAGCAATTATTAGGAAATAATAGAATTAGAGCTGTAGCTATGAGTGCTACAGATGGTCTAAATAGAGGAATGGAAGTGATTGACACGGGAGTTGCTCTAAGTGTTCCAGTCGGTGGAGCAACCCTAGGTCGAATTTTCAACGTGCTTGGAGAGCCTATTGATAATTTGGGTCCTGTAGATACTCGCACAACATCTCCTATTCATAGATCTGCGCCTGCCTTTATACAGTTAGATACACAATTATCCATTTTTGAAACAGGAATTAAAGTAGTCGATCTTTTAGCTCCTTATCGCCGTGGCGGAAAAATAGGACTTTTCGGTGGAGCTGGGGTAGGTAAAACAGTTCTCATTATGGAATTGATCAATAACATTGCCAAAGCTCATGGAGGTGTATCCGTATTTGGCGGAGTAGGTGAGCGTACTCGTGAGGGAAATGATCTTTATATGGAAATGAAAGAATCCGGAGTAATTAATGAAAAAAATATTGCGGAATCAAAAGTAGCTCTAGTCTACGGTCAAATGAATGAACCGCCCGGAGCTCGTATGAGAGTTGGTTTAACTGCCCTAACTATGGCAGAATATTTCCGAGATGTCAATGAGCAGGACGTCCTTCTATTTATCGACAATATCTTCCGTTTTGTCCAAGCCGGATCCGAAGTATCCGCCTTATTGGGCCGAATGCCTTCCGCTGTGGGTTATCAACCCACCCTGGGTACTGAAATGGGTACTTTACAAGAAAGAATTACTTCTACCAAAGAAGGGTCTATAACTTCTATTCAAGCAGTTTATGTACCTGCAGACGATTTGACTGATCCTGCTCCTGCCACGACATTTGCACATTTGGATGCAACTACTGTACTATCAAGAGGATTAGCTGCCAAAGGTATCTATCCAGCAGTAGATCCTTTAGATTCAACGTCAACCATGCTCCAACCTCGCATCGTCGGTGAAGAACATTATGAAACTGCGCAAAGAGTGAAACAAACGTTACAACGTTACAAAGAACTTCAGGACATTATAGCTATTCTTGGGTTGGACGAATTATCCGAAGAGGATCGCTTAACCGTAGCAAGAGCACGAAAAATTGAACGTTTCTTATCACAACCTTTTTTCGTAGCAGAAGTATTTACCGGTTCCCCAGGGAAATATGTTGGTCTAGCAGAAACAATTCGAGGATTTAAATTGATTCTTTCTGGAGAATTAGATAGTCTTCCTGAACAAGCCTTTTATTTGGTGGGTAATATCGATGAAGCTACTGCGAAGGCTACGAACTTAACTTAGAAATGGAGAACAAATTCAAGAAATGACTTTAAATCTTTGTGTACTGACCCCCAATCGAATTGTTTGGGATTCAGAAGTGAAAGAAATTATTTTATCTACTAATAGTGGACAAATTGGGGTATTAAAAAATCATGCGCCTATTGCCACATCTTTAGATATAGGTATTTTGAGAATACGCCTTAACGACCGATGGTTAACGATGGCTCTGATGGGCGGTTTTGCTAGAATAGGCAATAATGAGATCACTATTTTAGTAAATGATGCAGAAAGGGGTAGTGACATTAATCCACAAGAAGCACAACAAACTCTTCAAATAGCAGAAGCTAACTTGAATAAGGCTGAAGGCAAGAGACAAACAATTGAAGCAAATCTAGCTCTCCGGCGAGCTAGGACACGAGTAGAGGCTATCAATATGATCTCATAACAAGTTGGTGCAGCCAAAAAATAGAAAAAAGATAGAAAATTACAATAAAACAATGGTGAGTAGAAAAACTTATTAGATACCGGAATTAATGGTATCTAATAAGTTCTACCAATACCTTACCTACTATTGGATTTGAACCAATGACTCCTGCCGTATGAAAGCAATACTCTAACCACTGAGTTAAGTAGGTCATTTATCATCCTAAATAAAAAAAGTAGCTGTCTATCAGATCAATGGATTATAAATGTTATATTACTTATAAACAATACAAACGCAATATAAATCAAAGAGATTGGATCATGTCATATTTATCTTGACAAGAATTTATTTATCGAATATGATCAAATATGTATCCAAAGCACAAGGGCTATAGCTCAGTTAGGTAGAGCACCTCGTTTACACATGCGCCAATGTTTTTTCATAGGAGTCCATCATGTAATTAAAAGAGTTGATCTTAATTGATAAATCGATGTCTTACTCCCGGAACAAAATAAGAGAACAATAGCCTGACAAAGGATTTAGACGTCAAATGGAATCCATAATGGATTTGAGATATTGATACGGTGAATACTTAATCTATTCAATGCTAGGCAATGAGTCTAGGGACCTCAAAAAAAATCTCTTTTCTTCCTATCTTATGAACTTTAAGGTGTATGAAGTTTCATTTCCTATTTGATATTTTTATTGAAGTAGGTTGATAGAGAGTCCATTTAACTTAAGTTGATCCAGGCCAGAAGCAGACCTACGTCAGGATAACCTTCTTCTTTGAAAAACTTTGGTAGTGCTCTTAGATTTTGATCTAAATAAGAAATCAGAGCACAGGGAGTCATTTCCTTTTTCTTTGTGTAAAGAAAAAAGATGGTAGACTAATTGATATTTCTATCAGTTAATGAAAAAGCCCAATGCAAAAAAAATGCACGTTGGGTCTTTCAAACAATTCAAATCATTTTGATAATAATAAATAATAGTTTGATGTGTTTTACCGAGAAGGTCTACGGTTCGAGTCCGTATAGCCCTAATATTACTACCGATACTACTCAGATTTAGATTTCTTATCTAATATCTGTCATTACAAATATATATGTACTAATACTATATGTACTAGATTAGTACTATATTGAATACTCCATACTAGTAATACTACTAGTATAAATATACTTTCAATACTTTTTGTAATAGAAAGAATGAATAAAGTAATTTCTATTCGAATAGATTAATAGTGGATAGAATAATATGAGTATTAGTATACTCAGATAATAATCTCAATTTTATTAGAAAAAATGTAAACTTAAGAAAATACAAAGCATTTCTATTTAGATTCTATTAATGAATCTAAGAATTTGAAAATTTCAATTCAAATCGACTCAGAATTAATATGAATCCAGTATATTTTCCCCATTCCTAGGAGGACATTTATGTTTTTGCTTTATGAATATGATATTTTTTGGACATTTCTAATAATATCGATCTTTATTCCTATTTTGGCATTTCTAATTTCTGGAATTTTAGCTCCAATTAGGAAAGGGCCAGAAAAACTTTCTAGTTATGAATCCGGAATAGAACCGATGGGCGATGCTTGGTTACAATTTCAAATCCGTTATTATATGTTTGCTCTAGTTTTTGTTGTTTTTGATGTTGAAACAGTCTTTCTTTACCCGTGGGCAATGAGTTTTGATGTATTGGGGGTATCCGTATTTATAGAAGCTTTCATCTTCGTGCTTATCCTAATTGTTGGTTTAGTTTATGCATGGCGAAAGGGAGCATTAGAATGGTCTTAATTCTTGAATATTTAGACAATTAAACAAAACATTGAGACAGTTATGAATTCCATTGAGTTTCCCTTACTTGATCAAAAAACCAAAAATTCAGTTATTTCTACTACATTAAATGATCTTTCAAATTGGTCAAGACTATCTAGTTTATGGCCGCTTCTCTATGGTACTAGTTGTTGCTTCATTGAATTTGCTTCATTAATAGGATCGCGATTTGACTTTGATCGTTATGGACTGGTACCACGCTCTAGTCCTAGGCAGGCAGACCTCATTTTAACAGCGGGCACCGTAACTATGAAAATGGCTCCTTCTTTAGTTCGATTATATGAGCAAATGCCCGAACCAAAATATGTTATTGCTATGGGAGCCTGTACAATTACAGGAGGTATGTTCAGTACCGATTCTTATAGTACTGTTCGGGGCGTGGATAAGCTAATTCCTGTGGATGTATATTTGCCGGGCTGTCCACCTAAACCGGAAGCCGTTATAGATGCTATAACAAAACTTCGTAAGAAAATATCTCGAGAAATCTATGAAGATCAATTTAGTTATCAACGAGAGAATAGGTGTTTTACTACCAACCACAAATTTTATGTTGGACGCGGTACTCATACCGGCAATTATAATCAAGGATTATTCTATCAACCATCATCTATTTCAGAGATAACCTCTGACACATTTTTGAAATATAAAAAAGTTCAGTATCCTCCGACGAACGAAAAAGTGAATTAAACAGGATCCTTTTGTACAAAATACAATAAGAAATAGCAAGCAAGTCAATCTTCAAAAATTTCATTGTAATGTAAATAAATGGTAAATACTTATACCAATCTTATAAAAAACTCGGGAGAAGTAAAAAAATGCAAGGTAATTTGTCTGCTTGGCTAGTCAAACACGGAATAGTTCATAGATCTTTAGGTTTTGATTATCAAGGAATAGAGACTTTACAAATAAAGCCCGAGGATTGGCATTCGATTGCTGTTATTTTATATGTATATGGTTACAATTATCTACGTTCCCAATGTGCCTATGATGTAGCACCAGGAGGACTATTAGCGAGTGTCTATCATCTTACGAGAATAGAGTATAGTCTAGATCAACCCGAAGAGGTATGCATAAAAGTATTTACCCCAAGGCAAAATCCGAGAATTCCTTCTATTTTCTGGGTTTGGAAAAGTGCAGATTTTCAAGAAAGGGAATCTTATGATATGTTAGGAATCTATTATGATAATCATCCGCGTCTGAAACGTATTTTAATGCCCGAAAGTTGGATAGGATGGCCTTTGCGTAAAGATTATATCGCCCCCAATTTTTATGAAATACAAGATGCTCACTAAATGATAAAAATCAGAAAGTAATCTGAACTTCGACAACCCCAGATATTAAAGAAATATCTGTATGTACATTTTCTTTTTCTTATAGATTAGACAGAATAATAGAGGTTTCATTCCTAATCTTATTCTAGATTAGGATGGTATAAATAAGAAAATTGAGAAATAAAAAAGACAATAATATAGGGATTAATTGAGATTCCAAAATTGGATGGAGCTATACTTATTTAGGACGAGCCAATAGGATGAACTGAAAAAGTTCTGCATCATTAACTATGTAAGATGCACATCAGCATCAATTCATACCTTTTTTATTTTCATTATAGATATTTTTATTTTCATTATATATATGATATTTACAACTTTAGAGCATATATTAACTCATATATCGTTTTCCGTGATATCAATTGTTATTTCAATTCATTTGATAACCTTATTAGGCAATGAAATCGTAGGATTATATGATTTGTCCAAAAAAGCCATGATAATAAGTTTTTTCTGTGTAACGGGATTGTTAATTACTCGTTGGTTTTTTTCGGGACATTTACCATTTAGTGATTTATATGAATCCCTAATCTTTCTTTCATGGGGTTTTTCAATTTTTCATATGGTTCCTTTTTTTAAAAAGGAGAAAAACCTTTTAAGTACAATAATTGCACCAAGTGTTATTTTTACCCAAGGCTTTGCGACTTCGGGTCTTTTAACCAAAATGCATCAATCCGTAATATTAGTACCCGCTCTACAATCCCATTGGCTAATGATGCACGTAAGTATGATGATACTGGGCTATGCAGCTCTTTTATGTGGATCATTATTATCAGTGGCTATTTTAGTCATTACGTTTCAAGAAGTCATCCAAATTCTTGCTTTTACCAAGAATTTGGATTCTTTAAAAAAATCAGTTGATTTTGTTGAAATCAAATACATGAATAGGAATGAAAGAAACAATGTTTTACGAAAAACTTCTTTTTCTTCTTCTATAAATTATTACAGGTCTCAATTTATTCAACAATTGGATCGTTGGGGTTATCGTATTATTAGTCTGGGTTTTCTCTTTTTAACGATAGGTATTCTTTCAGGAGCAGTATGGGCTAACGAGGCATGGGGTTCCTATTGGAATTGGGATCCAAAGGAAACTTGGGCCTTTATTACTTGGACCATATTCGCGATTTATTTACATACTAGAAAAAATAAAAAATTAGAAGGTGTAAATTCTTCAATAGTGGCCTCTATAGGATTTCTTATAATTTGGATATGTTATTTGGGGATCAATCTATTAGGAATAGGACTACATAGTTATGGTTCATTTACATCTAATTGACTAAAAATGAGTAAAGAACCTGAGAAAGAAAAATATGGAAAGCATATAAATATATACGTTCCATAAATCGTTGAGAACCCTTTCAATCAAGTAATGTAATGATTCAAGGGGTTCTCACAAACAACAAACATATTCGATTATCATTTCAAATTTTGAAGTGAATCTAACGGAAAAATCTTTTTTTTATCTTTTTGATTCATTTATTCACAAAAATCATCCATCAAAAATTAGATAGAATAGCTTCAACCTTGTCAACCGAAAATGAGAAAATGAAATCTGGATAAATACCAATACCTATTATGGGTATAAGAATTGAAATCGAAATAAATAATTCTCTGGGCCCTGAATCAAAAAAAGAAGAGTTTGGTGTATTAAAAAATTTGTATCCATAGAACATCTGCCGTAAGATAGATAATAAATAAATAGGAGTTAATATAATTCCAATTGCTGTTACAAAAGTAATTAGTATTTTCATCATGAAAAGATATTTTTGACTAGTAATTATTCCAAAAAAAACTATCAATTCTGCAACAAAACCGCTCATGCCAGGCAATGCAAGAGAAGCCATTGATAAGATAGTGAAAATAGTGAATATTTTTGGCATTGGGATAGCCATTCCGCCCATTTCGTCAAGATAAAGAAGACGCAGTCTATCATAACTAGTTCCTGCCAAGAAAAAAAGGGCAGCGCCAATAAATCCATGAGATATTATTTGTAAAATGGCCCCGTTGAGACCAGTATCACTTATAGAATTTATTCCTATAATTATAAAACCCATATGAGATACCGAAGAATAAGCTATTCTTTTTTTTAAATTACGTTGACCAAAAGATGTTGAAGCGGCATAGATTATTTGAATAGAACCTAATATCATTAACCAGGGGCAAAATATGGAATGAGCGTGGGAAAAAAATTCCATATTAATTCGAACCAACCCATACGCTCCCATTTTTAATAAGATTCCGGCTAAAAGCATACAAGTGCTGTAATGTGCCTCTCCGTGGGTATCTGGTAACCATGTATGTAAGGGTATAATCGGCGATTTGACAGCAAAAGCAATAAGAAATGCCGTATATAATATTATTTCTAGTGCCACGGGATACGATTGATTAATTAATGTTTCAAAATTTAATGTTGGTTCATTAGAGCCATATAAACCGATACCCAGAATTCCCATTAATAAAAAAATAGAAGCTCCTCCAGTGTACAAAATAAACTTTGTAGCTGAATACAAACGTTTCTTTCCCCCCCACATGGATAAAAGTAGATAAACGGGAATTAATTCCAATTCCCACATGATGAAAAAAAGTAAAATGTCTCGAGAAGAAAATGGTCCGATTTGACCGCTATACATTGCTAACATCAGGAAATAGAATAATTGGTATTCTCGAGTAACCGGCTGAGCCGCTAAAGTGGCTAAAGTAGTTATAAATCCCGTCAGTAAAATAGGTCCTATAGAGAGTCCATCTATTCCTAATCTCCAGTAAAAATCAAAAAAATTGATCCATTTAGAATTCTCCGTCAGTTGAATTAGTGGATCATCCAATTGGAAATGATAACAAAATGCATAGGTTGTTAGAAGGAGATCGATTAAGCATATACAAATGCTATACCACCTAATTACCTTATTTCCCCTATGAGGAAATAAGAAAATGAAGGAACCTGCGGCTATTGGGAAAACAACAACTATTGTTAACCAAGGAAAATCATTCGTGATAAAAATAAGATACACTTGGGCCAGAAAAGCCCGTGCTCAAAATCAAATAGAAAATTTTTTTCTATTTGATTTTGAGCACGAGTTTTTGCCAGTAAAAAACGTATTCGTGTGGTGTTTTTTGAAACGTATCAATAAGCTAGACCCATACTTCGAGTTGTTTCATGCCATAAATAAACTCGAATACTTAAGAAATCTGTCGGACAAGCGGACTCACACCTCTTACAACCAACACAGTCCTCTGTTCTTGGGGCAGAAGCTATTTGCTTAGCTTTACATCCATCCCAAGGTATCATTTCTAATACATCTGTGGGACAGGCTCGGACACATTGAGTACATCCTATACATGTATCATAAATCTTTACTGAATGTGACATTATATCTATAGTAATTTTTGATGTTCAAAAATGAAAATTATCGATCTAGTAAACTCGTAAATGAATCGTATATTTATATACCAGATGAATCAATGATTTGTGATAATATAGTTAACTGTTAATAAAAAAGGCGTCTAGATAAATTTAGAAGAGGAAATAGAAGAGGACCAGGATACTTTGATTTCTTATGATTTAGGGAATGCAAACATGATATGATCATAAGTTGTGTCGAATAAATACTAAAATGAATTGATTAATATTACACTATTTGAAATTCTACTTTGTTTCTTTTTTATTAATTATGATATGATTCATGCTATTTATTCAACAAATTCGATTGATTGATACGGGTTGATTTTCTGTTACGAGCAATTGAGGAAACAATAGCCAGTCCGATAGCCGCTTCAGCGGCTGCAATAGCTATAACAAAAATTGAAAAAATATTTCCTTTTAATTGGCGATTATCAAAAAAATCAGAAAAAGTGACTAGATTTATATTCACTGCATTCAATATAAGTTCAAGACACATAAGGGCTCTAACCATATTTCGGCTCGTGATCAATCCATAGATACCAATAGAAAATAAATAGGCACTCAAAACAAGTACATGTTCGAGCATCATTGACCAACTCCTTATCAATTTTGATTCATTTCAATATGAACAACAATTCAACAGATTCAATTGACTAAAGAATATAACAAGTCTGCAACAAAAGAATATA